CCCTGGGTGGTTAAGCACTGACTATTAGCTGAAAGGTTGGTGGTTTGAACCCACCCAGAGGCACCTCGGAGACAGGCCTGGTGATCTGCTTCTGAAAGGTCACAGCCTTGAAAACCCTATGGAGCACAGTTCTACACTAAAACACATGGGTGCCATGAGTTGGAATCGACTCAATAGCAACTAACAACAACAAACTTCAGATAGGCAAAAACCAAAAGTTGGATCACACACTTAGTGAGGCCCAGGGAAACAGGCACTCTTACGCACGAATATTAGGAATGTAAATTGGTTAAACATCTACGTAGGGCAACTTGGCAATACCTATCAAAATTAAAAATGCATGTGACCTTTAACCCAGCAATTCCACTGATATATCTGGATATATTTGCCTATGTGAGAAATTACATATGTACAAGGTAATTCTAGGCAACACTGTTTGTAAAAACAAATATCACAACGACCTATATATCCAATAGGGAAAAAAACCAAAAACCCCAAACCTGTTGCCATCGAGTTGATTCAGACTCATGGCGACCCCATGTGTTACAGAGTAGAACTGAGCTCCAAAGGGTTTTCTTGGTTGTAATCTTTATGAAAACAGATTGTCAGGCCTTTCTTCCATGGGGCTGCTGGGAGGGTTCTAACTGCCAACCTTTTGGTGAGTAGTTGAGTGCAAGCACCAAACCAAATCCACTGCCACTGAGTGGATTCTGACTCATACTGACTCTATAGGACAGAGCAGAACTGCCCCATAGGGTTTTCAAGGTTGTAATCTTTACAGAAGCAGACTGCCACATCTTTCTCCTGCAGAGCAGCTAGTGAGTTCCAACCACTAACCTTTTGGTTAGCAACTGAGTGCTTTAACCACTGTGCCACCAGGGCTCCTCTGAGTGCATACAGGGACTGGTTAAATTAACTATGGTACATCCACACAATGGAACACTTTGCAGTGGGTAAAACAAAATAAATTCTCTATTTGTGATATAGGAAGATTTCCAAAATATATTAAATAAAAAGAATACAATGGAGAAGTATGTACAGTGTGCCATACTTCATATAAACAGGCAGAATTAAATAAGAATATATATTCCTATGTCATACAAAAATGACATAAAGAAATTCATAATAGAGGTTACCACTTGGGGGAGGGGGAAGGAACTGGATGGATGAGAGAAGAACTTTTCATTGTAGTCTTTTCTATATTTTCAAACCTTTTTGAATTGTGTGAATGTGTCACTGATTGAAAAATTAAAAACAAAAAACACTGCCTGGTGTAGGAAATCTACTACTTATAGGATGAAATCCAAACTCCTGAACTTGGTAAATAAGACCTTCATAACTGGAAGGAAACATGGTATATTGTATAAGAGTTGGGGTTTGGGGTCAGATTTCAGGGGTTAAAATGCAGATGTTAGCCATAAGACTGCAGGACTTTAGACAAGTAATTTCACCTCTCTAAACAATTTTTATAAAAAGGAGATGGCACTAGTTCTTTCACTATTGGGTTGGTGAGAGTAATAAATGAGATAACCCACGGTAATGCTCAGCACAGTGCCTGGCACACTGTCAGACCTAGCAGAGACCAACCAACGCCAACTATTTACTATTAATAGTCTGCCCCCAATCTACCTTTCCAGACTTCAATACCCCCATTTTATTGCCATAAAGCTCCAAACCTTTACTATTTCCTACACATGCCAAACTGTCAAAACTCGTTTTCTGATGACCTCGGTCTCCACCTTCTCCTTTGGTGAACTAGCGGTTGTGATCATCAAAGCCATCTCCACCCCAGACTTGTCTCCTAAGCTCCTGAACAACTTGTCGACATTTACTCCGGGATGCTTCTGTCAAGCAACCAAAATGCTCAACCTTAAATCAGTTATCTTCCACTGCTCCACCTGCTCCTAGGTCTGCTCCTTTCCACATATTCCTAGCATAGCTAACAGCTTCTTTATCCACTTAAACAATCCAATCCAGAAACTTGGGAGTTGTTACTCTTACATTTTCCTTTCTCTCAATTACCCCTTTGCAGCCCAAATGTTCACCAAATTCTTTCCATCCTAATTCTTAGTTCTGTCTCTTATTGCATATGAATTTACTACAGCAGCCCCCAAGTGCTCTCTTTATCTCCTGAGTCCCCCCTTTCCAATTCATCCTCCACAACGCTGCTACAATTATTTTTCTAAAACCCAAAACTCTTTAATGGCCTCTCAGCGTCTAAGGAGAAAGTCTCAACTGCTAAGTATGGCGCACAAGGCCTTTCAATGACATTGTCCTGACCACCTGCCTTCCTCACTCACCAACTCCACACATACCACTGACTTTGGCTAAACTACATGGTCTCCTGAGCTTGCCCTGCTCTTCTCTCACTTTGTTAACCACCTGGAACAGGGGGCCCATGGACTGGATGGGGAAAAAAAGTACTTCTTTATTTTCACTAACTTCTATCTGAAATTTAGCATTTCCTTCAATTATGAAGGTAGGAAATAACCCATAGTAGTATTAACATTACCTATGGTTTTATCATGGAGTCCCTAGGTGGCACAAATGGTTAAGCGCTTGACTACATGCCAAAAGGTTGGCAGTTTGAACCCCTATAGGTGTCTCAGAAGACAGGCCTGTCAATCTGCTTCTGAAAGGTCAAAGCCTTGAAAACCCCAGGGAGTGCAGCTCTACTCTGCAACACGTGGGGTTGCCATGAGTCAGAATCAACTCCACCACAATTAACAAGAACATGAATTTATCACCAAAAGAAATCACAAATTCTTCATGTCACATCAATGTTGCTGCAGGTATCTCAAAATAACAACTACAGCTCATTAGTTTGAAATGATAGTATTTCTATTACATCACTGCTAGATCTTGTTATTTAATGGGTTAAATAATAAAGCACATGTTACTGTACTGCAAATTTGATTTTTGAGTTTTTTGATAACAAAACTATACTTTGGTACTGTTGGTTTCCTTTATAAGTCTATGTATTTATCTTGTGCTAAAACATTATTCTGAGAAAGGGTCCATAAGCTTCCCCAAGCTGCCAAAGGGGTCCATGGCACAAAAAAGAGTAGGAATCCCAGCTTAGAATGTTCTTTCCCACTCTGTCTACCTGGGAGACTGCTATTCTCTGTTTCAGAGCTGGTTAAAATATTACCTCTGTCAATCAGTGATCACCCTGGTCTAACTTCTAGGCCTCTCCCCATCCCTTCCACACTCCCTTAGGCCCTTTGTACAGCCTGGCTCCCTCATTAGGCAAGGCTCCTTGAAGGCAAGATTGGGTCATTCATTTCTGCATATTCAGCACCCAGTTCAGGGCCCAACACACAGAGTGAATAAAATTTTATTGAATAATTGAATGAATATAAAAGAATATAAGAAGGCAAGATATTTTAGTGTGTTAAAATCTGGGTTTACATCCTGGCAAACAATTAGTAGCTTTGTGACTTGGGGAAAGCCATTTAACCCCTCTAAGCCTCTTTTCTCATGTGTGAAATGTAGATAATAACTCCTCTACTTATTGCACTCTATTCTCAAGAGGATCAAATAAGGTAATCGTGTGAAAGTGCTCTGTAAAGTTGCAAGGGCTACACAGAATTTAGTCATTATTATACCAAGTTATCCATTAATACTTAAAAAAACAATTGGGCTAAGGTCATCACATTATTAAAAATCTCACCTCCAGCAAAATCCCTCTACCTGCCCTACACTGTTGGGTACCCAGAAGATCACTGTTCCCCAAATGCACCAATCCTGTGTACTTTCAGGTCTTTATGCTCTTATTCCCATTATCGCTTCCTGTTATTTTGCCCAATGCCCTTCCTTCTTTGGCTGCCTGGGTAACTGCCACTGATTCTTCTTCAATCCTCGGTCTAAGCATTAACAACCTTCTGTGCGAACCCTTTTCTGGCCTCTCCCTTCCCCACCTTCACACAATATATGAGAGTTAATTTTCTATGTGTCTCTGGAGAGCAGGGACCTTGGTTATTCTTCTTGACCTCCTCTCTGCATCCCAGCACCCAAAAGGAATTCAAGTCATGTTTGCTGAGCATAAAATTGAACCACCAAAGGCAATTAGAGAGTATCTGAAACAAATCAGTGACACTGTGTGCGTTTGGTTATCTGTAAGAAAAGCAGAGCCTTAGCCTTATAAGTATTTAAATTCTGAACGATGAACCTGTCACAAGCCCTTTAAATATTCAGTTTCACTTCATTTTAAATGTAAATCCATTCACTCTAGCAAAGCAAGGTGAAGTTCATCTTGCAATGTCTGTTTCAACAGTCATACCACAATGCAAAGCACTCAATCATTGAAAATGTCACCATGCAGAGGCTGAGATAAGAGACCGCAGCACCTCTGAATTCTTCCCATTCTCATGCCCACAGGAAGACAGCTGTGAGCATTTTAGCTGAGATCCCTTACCTCAGAATGAGATAATGGAGAACAGTGGCCAGAGGAACTGTAGCCGGTTCCATGCACAATGAGTTATAGGCTAACCCTTGTAGAGCAGGAGGCAGTGGTGGTCTTCTAGGCCCAAATGCAACCCTACAAGGTAATTTCTGACCCTTTTACAGAGTTGCCTTAAGGTTTCCTCAAGTTTAAGAAGATAGGAGACAGTTCCCAAGAAAGTATATGTATATGAAAAAAACCAACCAAGCCAATGATATACATACAGATAGTAACATATTCAGGTCAAAATCTGAGTTTGGGATTTAGTTATAAGACTAGGCAAAAGGAAATAGCCATCATCTGTTTTTACCATCAGTAAGTGACTTCACTTCCTGTTTTACAGACACAACAAAGAACACTGGGGAAAACTTTCAATTTCCTGTCATCTACTTAGATTCATTTCCCCCAGTAACCTGAGGACAAGTTGCCTGCTTTGCTTTTGTATTCTCCTGAGCTTTTCAATTCCTGGAAGTTATGAACCAACTTGCTCGATGATGTCCCATTTAACTTATTAATTATTCCCTTACTAAATGTCCTCTATAATCAATCTTCTTACCTACGGTTAGGAAGGTGCTCAACAGCTGCTCCGTGGCAACAGGCTTGATTTCTGTCCGCAGATTAACAAATCTGCCAACCACCAAGGGGGCTCGGCGGAAACCCAGAATCCTAGTTTGGAAGGTTGAAGAACAGAAGAGAAAAATCTTTGGGGATGCATTTTAAATATCAGTCTTAAAAATTATGATTAATCATGCTAGGTATGTAAAGGTATTGTGGCCAAGAAGGTAAATCTTATTTTTAGAGGAGCGCATATTTAGGAGTTTAATATTCAAGATGTATGTAATTTGTTTTAATATACTTCAGCAAAAAGGAGAAAGCAAATCTGGCAAATATGAAAAATTGTGAAATCTAGGAAGTGGGTATTGGGTTCATTTTACTATTTTCTCTATTTTTGTTAGGAATTTTTCATAGTAATAAGTAAAAATAAAATTAAAAAAAATTTTTTTATTGTACTTTAGGTGAAGGTTTACAGAACAAATATTTTGTCATTAAACAGTCAGTACACATATTGTTTTATGACACTGGTTAACAACCCCACGACACGTCAGCATGCTCCCTTCTCAGCCTTGGAGGACCTTTTTTTTTTTGGTGAAAATATACATAGCCAAAGATACACCATTTCAAAAATTTCTACATGTACACTTCAGTGATGTCGATTACATTCTTCCAGTTGTGCGGCTATTCTCACTTTAGATGAAGGTTTACAGAACAAAATAGTTTCTCATTAAACAGTACACAGGCACAGATTGCCCTATGACAATGGTTAAGAACCCCACTATATGTCAACACTGTCCTTACTCAACCTTGGGTTCCCTGTCACCAGCTTTCCTGTCCCCTTCTACCTTCTAGTCCTTGTCCCTGGACTGCTGTGCCTCATTAGTCCCATTTTGTTTTATGGGGCTGTCCAATCCCCGGCTGAACGGTGAACCTCGGGAGTGACTTCACCGCCGAGCTAAAAGGGTGTCCAGGGGCCATACTCTTGGGGTTTCTCCAGTCTCTGTCAGGCCAGTAAATCTGGTATAGTAAAAATAAATTTTAACACAGCAACAAAGCATTAGAATAAAAAACGGATCTAGACTCATACATGGGTTCAAAGCAATGAATAAAACAGGATATTGACAAAAAACTATGCAAATTGATCTGATGATAAACCCATAGGACAACTTAAATACTGATAAATTTAAAGACATTTCTTTCTAATGGGCTAAAAGCACTACCTTACAGCTGAACACAATCATTTTTTAAAAAATAAGTTCCCTCGCTAAAAAATAAACACTCACTAAAAAAAGTTAAGGGGGCAGAATTTGGAACACACAGAAAAATAATAATGAAAAAAATACGAAACATCCATAATTCTACACCCAGGAATAACTGCTAACACTATGATGGCACATAAGCATTTTTTCCTTTACATGTATATATAAACACATACACTTAGGCATACACATACAATTGAGATTACATGACATGCAGCTTTGTATACTGTTTTTCATTCATCGCTATACCATAAGCCTTCTCCCAATGTTATTAGAAATTCTTTAGAAATGCCTGCGTAATAAATCCATTGTTGACGGTTGCTGACTCTGTCCTAAACCTAATCTTGGAAAAGCCAAAAAAGCAAGGAGATCAACAGATCTGTCAAAACATAAAAATCAAGAGAAATCGCTGAGGCAACAAGATGGTTAAATCCTAATGTACGGAGAAACAGCAATTCAGAGCCACGGATGGGAAAGAAGGTTGGGAAGTCTTTTTTCTTCCCATTGGCTACTGCAGGCTACACAAAAGCAGCCAGCTGAGCTCAGAGGGGCAATATCACCCCTCAGTGCATGAGCCTGGCTGTGGTGGTAGCTAAAAACGGGAGCAAGGGGAGTGGCCGGAGAACGTCCTTCAGACCTTGCGGTGGAGAAGGGCTTTTAAATATAAGATTCCATCAAGGCTAGGAGCCCTAATTTATGGCATAAATAGGATCCAATCATAACTAACAACGTACAAATTGAAGAAGATAAACTAGATAACTGGGATATTCTAAAAACCAAACACTTGCGTTCATCAAAAGACTTCACCAAAAAAGTAAAAAGAGAACCTACAGACTGGGAAAAAAACTTTGGCTATTACAAATCCAACAAAGATCTAATCTCTAAAATCTACAGGAAAATCCAACACCTCTACAACAAAAAGACAAATAATCTGATTAAAAAATGGGCAAGGGAAATGAACAGACACTTCACCAAAGAAGACATTCAAGTGCCTAACAGACACATGAGGAAATGCTCTGATCACTAGCCTTTACAGAAATGCAAATCAAAACCACAGTGAGATACCATCTTACCCTGGTACTACTGGCATGAATAAAATTAAAAAAAAAACAAAAAACAGAAAATAACAAATGTTGGAGAGGCTGCGGGGAGACTGGAACTCTTATGCACTGCTAGTGGGGATGCCAAATGGTACAACCATTTTGGAAAACTATATACTGCTATCTTAAAAAGCTAGAAAACGAAATACCATACGATCCAGCAATCCCACTCCTAGGAATATATTCTTGGCAAATAAGAGCCATCAACGAACAGACATATGTACACCCACGTTCATTGCAGCATTACTCACAATAGCAAGAAGATGGAAACAACCTAAGTGCCCATCAACAGATGAAACAAACTATGGTACATACACACAGTAGAATGCTACCAATGATAAAGAACACCGATAAATCTGTGAAGCATCTCACAATATGGATAAACCTGGAGGGTATTATGCTGAGTGAAATAAGTCAATCACAAAAGGACAAATATTGTATGAGACCACTACTGTACAAACTCATGAAAAGATTTACACACAAAAAGAAACAATCTTTGATGCTTACGAGGGAGGAAAGGGATGAGGAGGGAAAAACAGTAAACAGACAATAGATAAGTGATAACTTTGGTGAAGGGTAAGATAGTACACAGATACTGGGGGAAGTCAGCACATCTTGACTAAGGCAAAGTCATAGAAGCTTCATAGACATATCCAAACTCCCTGAGGGATCAAGTTACTGGGCTGAGGGTTGGGGACAATAGCTCAATTGGCATAACATAACTTATAAAGAAAATGTTCTATAACCTACTTTGGTGAGTAACATCTGGGGTCTTAAAACCTTGTGAGTGGCCATCTAAGATATGTCTACTGGTCCCACTCAGTCTGGAGCAAGGAAGAACGACGAAAACCAAAGGTACAAGGGAAAGATTCGTCCAAAGGACTAATGGACCACAACTACCACAGCCTCCACCAGGCTGAGTTCAGCACAATTAGCTGGTGCTCAGCTACCACCACCGACTGCTCTGACAGGGATCACAACAGAGGGTCCTGGACAGAGCTGGAGAAAAATGTAGAACAAAATTCACACTCTTATTGGTCTGACAGAGACTGGAGAAACCCTGAGAGTATGGCCCCTGGACACCCTTTTAAGTCAATACTGAAGTCACTCTTGAGGTTCATCCTTCAGCCAAAGATTAGACAGGCCCGTAAAACAAACAATAACACACGTAGCTCAACTATGCATATGAGACTAAAGGGGCACACCAGTCCAAAAGCAAAGATGAGAAGGTAGGAAGGACAGGAAAGCTGGACAAATGGAAATCGGAAACCTGAGGTCAAGAAGGGGAAAGTGTTGACATATCACGGAGTTGGCAACCAATGTCATGAAACAATGTGTGAATTAATCGTTTAATGAGAAACAAATTTGCTGTGTAAACTTTCATCTAAAGTACAATAAAAAGAATTATAGAACAAAAAAAAGGTAAACATACTCTAGAAAACTTGGAAAAAAAATAAATAAAATACAAGTCATAAAGTGAAACATTATTACATCTAATTCACATCAAAACTAATGATTTCTGTACAAAGAATGCCTCACTATAAGTTTAAAAATAGGTACTATACCACAAAAAGATAAAAAACCAAAAACCAAACCTGTTGCCGTCAAGTCAATTCCAACTCATAGCGACCTTACAGGACAAAGACGAATTGCCCTATAGGGTTTCCAAGGCTGTAATCTTTATGGAAAGGAGCCCTGGTGGCACAGTGGTTAAAGCGCTCCGCTGCTGTGATTGTTAAGGTTGTGTGTCAACTTGGCTGGGCCATGACTCTCATTGGTTTGGCAGTTACGGTGTAGTTTGGCAGTCGTATGATGATGTGATCACTTCCATGATGAGATTTGATTATAATGTGATCACCTCCATGATGGGATCTGCTGTGAGGAGCCAATTAGTTGACGGGGAGTTTCCTTGGGGGTGTGGCCTGTGTCCAATATAGGTGGACTTTCTGGCAAGGCTCACAGGCTTTTGCTCCCCCTGGATCCTACAGCTCGCTCCTGTTCATCTGACCTCCAGTTCTTGGGACTTGAGCTAGTAGCTTACCTGCAGTCTTGCCTGCCGATCTTGGGATTCACCGATCTTTGCAGCCTGTGAGCCAGAGCCCTGCTGTCTGACTTGCCTGTTGGTCTGCCAGCCCCTGAGGCTACATAAATCAGGAGGAGCCTTCAGCCTGACCCACAGATTTGGGGCGTGCCAGCCTCTACAACCTCATGAGCTACTTCCTTGATATAAATCTCTCTCTCTATATATATATATTTATACACTTTACTGGTTTCACTTCTCTGGAGAACAAGTCTAAGACAGCTGCTAACTGAAAGGTCGGCAGTTTGAACCCACCAGCTGCACCATGGGAGAAAGATGTGATAGTCTGCTTCCATAAAGATTTACAGCCTTGGAAACCCTATGGGGCAGTTCTGCTCTATCCTATGGGGTCGCTGTGAGTCAGAATCGACTTGATGGCGCTGAGCTTGGTTTGGTTTTAATCTTTACGGAAGCAGACTGCCACATCTTTTCCCAAAGAGTGGCTGGTGGGTTTGGATGGCCAACCTTTCAGTTAGCAGCCAAGCACTTAACCAGGGCTCTTTGTGAAAAGATAAGGAGATACTAAACTTTGCCAATAATTGGGGAAATACAAAATAAAATAACAATGACATACCATTTCATACATATCAGATTAACAAAAATTAGTACCTTGAATAATATGCAATATTGGTTTTGGATATGGGGAAATGAGAATCTTATGTAATGCTGGCATCTACCAACAGGGAAACAGGAGGGAGATTGGAAATGAAGAATAAAGGAAAACCAGTAAGGTCTTGGAAAGACAGATTCTAGTGAGCCATTAAGTGAGGAGCAAGATTTACCTAACTCTATTCCTTGAGGTCTTAAAAAAGGTAGGAAAAATTCATGGTACAGCAAACAAACATTTATTTAACTTTCCCCAAATCACTAGATGTTTAGGTTGCTGCCAGTTTTTCACTACTGAAAATGCTACAGCTAAGATCCTTTGCATATAAATCTTTGAATTTCTGATTATTTCTCTAGAGTACTTCCTAGAAATGTCTTAGAATTTTCCTAGATATTTGCATCAAAAGGTAGTTACCGGTTCAAAGGGGATGAACATTAAGGTTTTTGATAAATAATGCCAGAGTCCTTCAAAAGAAAGGTTGAATCAATTAATGCCACAAGCAGCGTATGAATCTCAATGTATTCCTGCCAATGAAGTAGTATCTTTTTTTAATCTTTGCCATTTTCAGCAGATGAAACAATATCTCAGTTTCAACTGGATATTTTTTATGACTGATAAGGATAAACTTTCCCTCCCATATTTATTTGCAATCAATAATCCCCAGCCAGTGAACTGACTGTGTCCTCAGCCTATTTTTCTACAAGAGTTTTTGTGTATGTATAATTTTATATAAAAACCAAAACCAAACCCATTGCTGTCGAGTTGGTTCCAATTCATAGCGACCCTACAGTACAGAGAAGAACTGCCCCACAGCATTTCCAAGCAGGTGGTGGATTCGAACTGCTGACCTTTTGATTAGCAACCAAGCTCTTAACCACTATGCCACCAGGGCTCCATAATTTTGTATAAGCACTTCTATATTAAGTCTGTTAATATTAAGATTACATTAGATTCAAATGTTCTTGATACATACGTTAATTTTTTTATTTTGTCTACTAAACTTTTTCTTTGTGACTTTTAACTATTGCTTTTATGCTTAGAAAATCCTTATTCAGAGAAAAAACAAAAAATTATCATTATTTTCTTCTCATTACCTTGTTTTGATTTTTTTACTATTGTGAATAATTTCTTTTAAAGCCTGTCAATATGCCTTGAGGAAAGAGCTGGTCAGAGAGTAACTGAGATGTCAGATGGTTCTGCTACAAGGCTCCTGACTAGCAACTGCTGGAAAAATACTTCCTGGTAAACTTATTAATTTAGAACTAATGTGTATTTTTGTTTTGGAATTATTTTCATTTTTTAAGCTGCGCATATTCTGCATGAAAAGACAAAAAAATTCATTATATATATATCATGCTATATGTTTCCAGCATATGGAGGTAAGGCAGTATTATTTACCTAAAACAAAAACAAGCAAAACAAAAAAACAGGACTGCCAGGCTCAATTAATGACCAATTCGATTAAGGGATCTGAGTTCAAACTTTAGTTTTCATTGTGCCATTTATTTACCACGAACATCTTCACTCATGATAATTCACAGAGAGCATGCCAGGAATGAAATGACCTAAATAACCATGGAGTTAAAATATTTACTTTGATACTCCTGGTGCCACCCTGATTATGATGGATTCACAAAAATTTAATGGAACTAGTCAATCAACTAATTATAATAGCTAATAAGTTAAAGTTATCAGTGTTACACCTTTAGAAGGTATCCATAAGTCCCCTCCAAGAGAGATTTTTAAAAGGAAACAAAAGGAACACAGCCCGCTGTGATAACACATACCTGTCCAAATGAAAGGCTGCTACTTCTGCATTGTGTCTATCATAACCGGCGTAAGGTTCCCCTTCTACCACATAGTCTCGGCTATACCTGCAGAGAGAATGGGGAGCACAGACATAGACACGAATTACATCATGGCCAGAGGTGACAGTACAAGAGGTAGGTAGAACATAAACTTGAGCAATTCTGATTCTGCTCTATAGACACCTTCTCTGTTGACCCTGAAGACAATCTTTAATTAGCACCAATTGCTGGGGAATGGGGTGAAGATGAAGTAGAGAAGGAAACTATAACTCCATATCTACTTCGGCAATCATCCTATGAATAAATCATGGAAGATGTTATTTTTACCACTGTAAAGAGCTTTCAGTATTGCTGCTACTGGTTAAGTAGAACCACAAGATAATTTTCTGTATCTCTGGCACAGTGCTGGGACTATAACCCAGTTGCTGTCGCGTCAATTTTGACTCATAGTGACCCCATGTGTTGCACACTGCAATCATGTTCCATAGGGTTTTCATGGCTGTGACCTTTCAAAAGCAGATGGCCAGGCCTTTCTTTCAAGGTGCCTCTGGGTGGATTCAAACCACCAACCTTTCTGTTGATAGCCATGTGCTTAACTGTTTGTGCTACCCAGGGACTCCTGCTGGGCCTACCCAAACCAAACCTGTTGCTATGGAGTGGATTCAAACTCATAGCGACTCTACAGGACAGAGTAGAACTGTTCCACAGGGTTTCCAAGGCTGTAATCTTAGAAGTGAGGTTGGCAAGACTTCATCTCACGTACTTCGGGCACATTATCAAGAGGGACCAGTCCCTGGAGAAGGACATTATGCTTGGTAAAGTAGATGGTAAGGGAAAAAGAGGAAGACCCTCAATGAGATGGACTGACACAGTGGCTGCAACAATGGGCTCAAACACAGCAACGACTGTGAGGATGGTGCAGGACGGGGCAGTGTTTCATTCTGTTGTTCATGGGGTGGCTGTGAGTTGGTACCGACTTGACAGCACCTAATAACAACAATCTTTACAGAAGCAGATTGCCACATCTTTCTTCCACGGAGTGGCTGGTGGGTTTGAACCATCAGCCTTTTGCTTAGCAGCTGAGTGCTTACCACTTCGCAAACTGGGCTTACAGTAGGTGCCTAATAAATGTTTACTAAAATATTTATCAGAATTAAGAAATGAAGGAAATTTTGGCTACAGTAAGGCTTATAAGAGAAGTTCAAATCTCTTGGGTAAAAGTGGTCCTGAGATTCCTCAGTTTTTGCTAATGAGCTGGCAAAGATGTTTTTATAAAAGTTGCTTATATACCCATTCTCTGTCTCTTTTTAAGTTTATGATGATAGTGGAAGGGACAGTGGACTGGGAGTGAGGGGTGGGAGTGAGAGGCATTACCTGACTGTGTAATCTCGAGCAAAATCTTTCTCCTTTTTGGGTTTCAGACTCCTGATCTGTAACATTAGGAGCTGAACTAACTGCACTTCAAACGGCATTGCTATGATTTTACATTATTTGTGTGACATGAACAAAAGATAACGAAAACTGGCATATTTCTACTTATCATAAAAAAGATACAATTTTAATCTGTTAATTGTGAAAGAAAATATTTAATTCACCTATGACTACAGCTGTTCACCTGCCTTACATTTTCTGAATCGAAAGGAGCCCTGTTAGGCTTTACCAGGGAACTGCGAAACAAAAATGAGCTGAGACTGAAGCAAAGAAGAGCAGCTCCACTAACGACACTCTACGCTGAAACAGCTATGCGGAAATGGAAAATGGTACTTAGTGTGACCCCCAACTTAAGCGACCTTAGAATATAAAGTGAAACAATGTCCATAAAACACATCTTCAAGGCAAAGTGATGAAACATTTATGTTACAAAACAGCCATGGATCACCACCTGGTTGGATGACAGTTTCTTCGCAACATGGTCAATACACTCAAATGTATTTTTTTAGTCTCCAGTGTCAAAGATTTTTTAGGCATTACACTGGCTACTTCCAAAATAAAAATCTCAATTTTAAAGTGCCATTGCAGCAAAATCTGATACTATTCAAGCAGTTCTCGCTGCATTACAGCTGTGGCCATCTGTAGAGTGAGGGGACAGTCCCTGAATACTTGATATGTCAGGACTCCAGGGGAGCCACAGGAAGGCACGTGGTTATATGCAGTCCATTCCTTCCAGTGAGACATTAACGAGCTTTTTCATTCTTCTAAAGGCTGCTTGGAGGAAAATGTAAAACCCTAGGGGCATCCAGGAACTTTAGGGGTAGGGATGGATTGGGGAAGAAGGGAGGGAAGGAAAACAGAAAAGAATAAGAATCCAGAAGAAAGAACTGCAGTGCAGTCAGGTCTGAATCCTTGGCTCGTGCTTTGGCTGCGTGAAATAAGGAGTCCGATAACTCTCTGGATCTCATTTTCCTCATCTATACAACGAGTAGACAGATTAGTTGATCTCCAAGGCCCCTTTCAGCACTTCTAAGATCACTCAGCTCACTTCTACCCACTCCTAAGCCCCTGCTGTCTTGTTCCTTTTAAACCATGACTGCAGTTTTTGCCTGTGAAAATCAATTTACTTCCAGAATGGGTACAGCTACGCTGAAGAAAAACCACTTTTATAATGTAAGGCAAGATGTGTATATAAAATTGTCACTGTATTTCCATATACATCACCTACCTATACATATCTTCTATCTCTGAGATGGCATGGACAGCCAGGCTCCAGAAATGCGAACACCACAAGTGGCCATTACAGAAGGTGCACGTCTGGACTCAGCTGTTAAGGATTAGACCCTCCTCTCAGCAGTGAGTGATCCATCTTAAGTCACTGATAGAGCAGCAAAATTCATACAGTAACTGCCAGTAAATCACTCCTATCCTCTTGGTGAAGGACATCAGAGTCTGACCAAGGACATTACCTAATTTGCACTTACAGTAGAGCTAAATAGCCTCCTTGGCCCTGGGGGTCAGAATAGCTATTTGCTGGGTGTTTAAGGACTGGAGTCAATTTCTCCAAGTGCTTATACCTACACCCACCTTCCCCAGCCTGTGACAGTACCTGGTGTCAAGCAGCACAGGTCAGTGTGTGCAGTGACTGAGGGCTGTCACCCATGGTGGGGCGATTCGGCTTGCTGGGTGCGGGAGGGAAGTGCCCTGGCACTGGGAATGGACATGGCCTGTTCAGGAGACAGCGGCGACCTGGGTGACCAGTTTGGCAGACAAAGTGGAAAGGGGCAGCAAGGCTGGGTATACAGAGGTAGACCAGGCTGTGAGGGGTCGACCATTAGGCTGTGGAGGCTGAGTTTTGTCTGGAAGGCAGTGGGAAATCCCTGGATGCTTCAAAGCTCAGGAGCACAGGATAATATGGGTATTTCAAAGAAGAATAGAAATAGTTTTCATGATGGTCTGGAAGGGGAAAGTAATGGGAAGGTTGTAGTGGAGGAAAGTAATGGGAAGTGGTAGTAGGAGATATGAGATGAAGCAAGTTGTGACTAAGGTTGGCTTATGCATTTATCTGCCACCACCTCCCCTATTCACTAACCTGGCCTCTCTTCTCTCCACGTATACCTTGTCTGAGCACCCCAGGCCTATCTGCAGAGTACCTGGGCTAATACTGCTCACTCTAAGGAATATCTGCCTTCTAACACTTCCTGCTGTCCCATCGTACCCTCAATTCTCCAGCGTGGAAGTCGTGGGTATGGAGATGATCTCCTCTTATTTAAACACAAAATGCCCAAAACTCATCTCTTTCTACACAAATTGACCTTTTGTTTTTAGCTTCTCTTCTTTCCATCACTCCGCTGCAAACCAAGAAGTCAAGGAGCATACTGCAAAACTAAACTAGTGGTTTTGGATGATAGGTGCTCCATATCATCACACTTCCAGGAAAGCAAACAAATAAACCTAGAGAATTACATGTGTGTGGCGGAATACAAACTGCTCAGAACTCTTACAGGTCTGGGTTCAAACCCAGCTCTGTTGGTTATTGCTGGGTGACCCTATCAAGTTAGTTACTTTCTAAGCCTCAGGTTCTTACTCTGAAAATAAGAACTGTAAATGCCTACAGTTGTAATGAGGGTTAAAGCATTGTACTTACTGTAATGCTTAGCACACAATGTGCATTCAACGGACATTAGCTCCCAGTGCACACATAACTATACTTTTCCCACATTACCTGCCAATCAGACCTTCTATTCTCTAAAAGTCTACTGCATTTTTTAAATTTTCCTGATTTCCACATCTTCTATACATCATACTTCCCAGTTCCAGGTAATCACAGATCCTTCCTGTCATGGACTGAATTGTGCCCCCCCAAAATATCTGTCAGCTTGGCTGGGTCATGATTCCCAGTATTGTATGATTGTGTACCATTTTGTAATCTGATGTGATTTCCTTAGGTGTTGTAAACTGTATCACTATGATGTAATAAGATGGATCAGCAGCAGTTATACTGATGAGGTCTACAGATTAGTGTCTTAAGGTAATCTCTTTTGAGATAGAAAAGAGAAAAGCAAGCAGAGAGACATGGGGACCTCATACCACCAAGAAAGCAGCGCTGGGAGCAGAGCGCATCCTTTGGACCTGAGGTTCCTGCGATGAGACGCTTGCAGCCCAAGAGAAGGCTGATGCATGACAAGGACCTTCCCCCAGAGCCAACAGAGAGAGAAAGGCTTCCCCTGAAGCTGATGCCCTGAATTTGGACTTGTAGCCTACCAGACTGTGAGAGAATAAATTTCTCTTTGTCGAAGCTATCCACTTGTGGTATTTCTGTTATAGCAGCACTACATGACTAAGACACCTTCTATTCCTGTGATGCCAATATATTCATTCTCTGGTTGCCTTTTATCTACCTATAAAAAAAACCACTGCCGCTGAGTAGACTCCAACTCATGGTGACCCCAGTGTGTGTCAGAGTAGAGCTGTATTCTACAGGGTTTTCAATAGTTGTAATTGTATAAAAGTAGATCATCGGGCCTTTCTTCCACAGTGCTGCTGGGTGGATTCAAAGCACCAATCCTTACGCTAGTAACTAAGTGCAAACCATTTGTACCACCCACTGACTTATTTGTTTATCTTTTAAAAAAAACGAAAAGCCCACTGCCATTGAGCTGATTCCAAATCATGTACCCCATGTTCCAGAGTAAAACTGCACTTCAGGGTTTTCAATGGCTGTACTCTCATGAAAAGGAGCCCTGCTGGTGCAGCGGTTAAACGCTCGGCTGCTGGCCGAAAGGTCAGCAGTTCGAACCCGCCAGTTGCTTTATGGAGAAAGATGTGGCAGTCTGCTTCCACAAAGATTTACAGCCTTGGAAATCCTGTGGGGCAGTTCTATTTTGTCCTAAAGGATCACGATGTGTCAGAATCAACTTGACGGCAAAGGGAATGGGAATCTTATGGAAGTACTGGTTGCCAGGCCTTTCTTCCACAGGGCTGGATGGATTTAAACTGCCAACCTTTCGGTTAGTAGCCAAGTGCAAACCATTTGCTCCTCCCAAGGACCTGTCTACCTAAAGTTGGGTAATAAAGGGAACTGGGCCAACTACTCTGGTCACAGTTGAATTTTGTACATCTTTCCCTCATATTCTCCCAATTCAGCAGGAAACCCAAAAGTATGTTTTATAATTTTCTCAAAAGCTCCACTGAGGAATGCAAAAATGTTTATTACACAGAGAATTTCAGACATTACAAACTTTGAGAATATTCACTGGTAACTAACTCCTGGCAAAAGGATATGAATATATATATAACCTATTTCAAATTCATATACCACAGAAAACAACTTTTTAAAAATTAACTATACTATATAATTGCCACACAAATTATCTCTTTAGATTCCTACAGAAGCCCAAAGGGATCACTGTCTAATGACATACAGTTCAACCTACTTCAGATTCTGGCCTGAGGTGGTAAATCAGAAAACTAAAATGGCACAGTTCTTTGTTTAAAACAGGTAAAAGAATCATAACTCCTGTGTGGAGGAAAGTGGCTTTAGCCACCCACCTGAAACCCATTCCAACTCTGGGCAACTCCTACTCTGTAGCATCCCAAGACGTGTGGTTATCAGTCTTTACTTGCACATTTTTGGCGGCAAGTTGCTTATTTCCTCACCAGTTCATTTTGTATCTCTAACACCTGATAGCAGGTATTTGATAAACTAGAAATCGAGAAGAGCTCTAATTGTCAAAAAGTTCAGTCTTATACAGAACCAAAACTTGTCCCTACAGGTTTCCCCTACTCAAAGAATGATAAAACATAAGAGCTAGAAGACTGGAGATCTTCTAGTCCACCCCTCTCATTTTACCAAACAGAATTCCAAGAAAAGGAGATCAACACTCTTATAAATCCCAAGTTAAATGAATGAACCAACTCACGTATATAGCTGCCAAGATGAAGACTTACCGCTTAGGTTTGAAGACAACTTTCTGTCCTCCTTCAAGTATCAGTAAGGCTTTCAGTTGTGTCCCTTTATAACCCACATCAGCTTTAATGATTTTCTTGGTGGCCATGGCGTGCATGATGGCCCCCAGTTCTGGTGTTTCTTCAGGGTACACTTCCCGGGGAACCACCCACTGGGCTGCAATCTCCCAGGGAGACTGCAAGGTGTGGTCTAGCTTGGGCTCCAGCTCCACCTGTAAGCCAGCCATCATTCGGCGAAAAGCCCTCTGGTCCTCCCGGTTGGCAGCTGATGTATCTAAGTTGTCAATCAGGAAAACTTTGGTGAAGATAAAGATGACTAGGAGAATTGCTAACAGCACAACTCGCTGCTTTAGCTTCATGTTGACCTCTTTTCCTTCTCCCCTGACCCAATCTCTCTCACTTATCAAGGAGAGCTGGGGGTGATGGTTAGCAAGGAGATTCCATGATTATACACACTGGTCCATTTCTTCACTGAAGTGCCTCCCACAACTCCTGCAAGCCCAAGTATAAAGCAAAATTCGATCAGAAATTCTATCCTTTCACCCTTGAATCTTTCACAAGCTTCTATTACTTACCCTTTTAGCCTTGTTAATCTTACACTTGAGAAGGCACAATAATTTAAAATTAACTAGTCCAGGGAAGGATCTAATAGGTAAGAACCAATTATGCTGAGAATTTAAAAGCAAATATTCCTGTCTTAATCGGGATGCAGAGCCACCTAGGAAGACTCATACTGAAAATGTACACTTCAGCATTTATTATATATTCCCATAAAATGGCCATTGACCTGCTACAAATGCCAGTAACGAAAACAATAAGAAAAAGTACAATAAAAGCAAAACATTAAGATACACATAACTCTCCTTAACTTTCATTTATACCTTTTAAAATCCACAAAGGACCTTTGAACATTCAAAGCCACTGATATTTGGTAGATTTTCAGTTATTTGCTCCAAATAAAAGTTTTATAACATGTTGGAAGACACAGGTAAGTAATAACTCTTTGCCTATATCTAAATATCCAGCAATCCTGAATGTGTCACATCTGCTGCTCACACATTTAACTGCAACACTCACACATGTATCTCTACTTAATCAGTCCCCACTAATTATTTTTCAAAATTAAAATCCCTGTAAAATATGGATAATCAAATCTGCATAAATTAAGTAAAGGAAAAACATATCCCATCATCATCGGGCTATTAGTAGGACATGACCAGAAAACTAACGAAACTTGGACTAAGTCTGGACTGGGCAGGCAAATAACAAGGGTATTGGTGCCACAGACATAAAGAAACGCTGCTCCCAGTAGGGGCTCACCACTCTCTGGGCAATTCTCAGGCTGAAAGATTACAAATACAAGACTTTTGCAAGGGTGTAAATAACATAAAACTCAGGCTCATCTGCATGCTGACAGGTTCTTTCCACACCACAAGGCCATTTAAAACATGCACAAGCTTGCTCTGCTACGTGCCTCCAGACGGCACAGCATTGGGGAAAGACAGAGACGACAAGAAGATAACAGCATGCTGTTTCACTCTCCAATTCATCTGACAACTCAAGCCATTAATGGAAGAAATAAAACCAATACAAAAGATGTTGTTGTTAGGTGTCATCGAGTCGGTTCCAACTCATAGTGACCCTACATACAACAGAACAAAAATACTGCCTGGTCTTGTGCCATCCTCACAACTGCTGGTATGCTTGAGCCTAATGATGCAGCCACTGTGTCAATCCATCTTGTTGGGGTCTTCCTATATTTTGCTGACCCTCTACTTTACCAAGCATGATGTCCTTCTCTATGGATTGTTCTCTCCCAATAACATGTCCAAAGTAGGTAAGACGATGTCTCACCATCCTCGCTTCTAAGTATAGATAGGGCAAATAATTCAGGCTGAGACGCTCTCACCCAAACTTTTGAGACCGCTCACCTAATAGCAGCTGGAAACGCATTCAGAACAGCATCCTGGAGCAACAGTGTGTTCTAAGGGCAACACCTTGCAGGGAGCCGGGGAACGTGCAGTTATTACCAGTGATTAACCACTCTGTTCCTGTTCATTTTCATGAAGGAAGCTGAAAGTGAGAGGTATATTCAAATCCTAATTATTCCCAGCCACCTGCTTTGTTTTGTCATCATCTCAGGCAGTATATAACACTATTAGCTGAAACAAAGGCAAATCGAGTGTGTCCAAAATATAATTGTGACAGTATCCAGTTTGGTGTGAAACTCAGTAAAATAGTCCCTGTGATTACTGATAACGGCAGTGCGGGAAGAGCAGATTTCAGATTTTTGCTAGTTCCAACACCACCTAATCCACACAACTTCTCCAATTATTTGCTCAACAGTACACATGTCAGGCTGCAGTGATAAAAGCAACATGGAAATCTAGCTGGGTCAGCAATCGCTTCCTCAGCACCTCCAGATGCAACTGCCTGCAAATGCAGTACAATTCTGGCACAAAGGGCTCAGCTGAGCAGACTTGCACTTTCTCCAAAACATCCTTCAGGGCTAAAGTCTGGTTATCCCAGAAACTTCTATTAGTGTTGCTAATTTCAGTTACAATAAAGAAAGTCCTCCCTCATGCTGTATAAACATATCTCACCCAGACATTTAGTATAAAGGTTAAGGCTGTTAAGTTTTTTACCACCTATGCAATCAGAAGTTCTAGCATCCCGAACATTCAGGTAAAACAAACCATCTAACTCGGCAATCTGAGTTAGTGTGCTTTTAAGTTTTGAAATCTCATTACTTTTTGAAAATGCCTCAGAAGAACACATTCATTGATCCAGAGTTGCAAACCATTCATCCACTCAACTAGGATAAGAATTTATATTAAGCTAATTGAAGAGTTCAATTGTTATATTATTTCACTATTTACCTCTGTAGATAAGCAGCAAGGGCAGGTTAGAAAAAACAGGCTGAACAAGTTTTCATTGTGATTAGTCACCACATCCTGGTAGAAGGAGGAAAATCATGATGTGGCAATGTTCTCTACAAGTCCCTTCATTCCCACTGCCACTGACCCAATCCAGTGCTTATCACCTCCTAGTGGACCATTGAAAGAACTGATTTCTGGGCCTCCAGGTTCTCCAGTCCAGCCTAGATAACGCAGCCAAAATCACTTTTCTAATCACTAACCACCTGTCGTATCTACACATTCCTCAGTAAGCTATTCAAGGCCCCCCTAAATGGCTTCAATTTACTCTGCTAGGCACCATTCTCATTGTTTCTCTTCTCAGCTTCAGCCAAACTGGACCAACTAAACAGGGTCTGCTCCGCCCCCATCCCTTGACATGCAGTTGCCCCTTGCCCTTCATTCCTCACACCTAGAAGCCCCTCTTTCTCTTACTCGTCTTCCATGTCCTCCTGTTTAAAGCCTAACCAATCTTTCAAGGCCCATTTCCAAGGCTGTGTTTCTGGTCTCTCCCCACCCTCTACAGTAACTACTTTAGACCATCCTTAGCTACATTCTGCCTTGTATAATACCTTCTTGTACATAATTGTTAATTCCCATGTCAGAATCTTGGCTCCTTAGTTATCTTAACCATCTTCGCATTCTCTGTAGTACTAGCACAGTAAGGGTAGATGCCTTATTGACCTAAACTGAACAAACTACTACAAACAAAGCTTTGCAAATATCTTAGGATTCCAATGTTAATCTCCTTTGGCATTCAGTATCAAATGAGTATCAACTGGCACCTTAATGTTGGCAGAGGGTGCCAGCCATTCTCCTTTTTTGGGGGGAGGGGAGCAAGCTACTTCTTCTGCCAGTACCCTCACTACTCAGATGGTTGATGGTTTCAGAGCGCAGGGTCTCTTTTTCTGATTAAATATTGACAGTTCATAAAGTGGTTTTCTTTTAGCTAGAAAGCTGCTGCTCCTTTATCCCATAGGGCAAACTCAAAGCTATTCGAAGGAATTGACAATGTAGAGATCACAATGGAATTTCTACTAAAAGTCTATGAGCTTGTTGGACTCCTTTTCCAGAAAAACGTATGAGATGGATGATCTGGAATAATTCCATCTTCTGATGATGGTATACTTCTTTCTCTTTAGAATGACCCTTTCACCCCTTTATACCTGAGAGAGGGAAGAGTGCCCAAGCCCGGGTTTCCATGCTATATTAGCTTCCTCTCTTATTTGAGATGAGCAGCATACTATAAACTCTGCAAACTAGGTTTCTAAGAGGATCTCCCATTTCAGATCTAAGGAAACTAAAGCAAAATTACTGGGTACATTCCAAACTCTTCATGAAAAGCTCACTAGCATTCCCAGAGGAATCTGTCTGACTTTTTCCATGCCCTTACCTCCTCCCATAAATGCCTCAAACAGTATAACACTGCCCAGTTATATTATGGTCATTTATTTTAATGTTTCTATTATGTGGGACAGAGCCCACCTCAAAGAACAAATAGGCAGAAACAAGGTAATAACTCAAAATATGTTTAATATAAAAAAAAAAGGCAGCACAAATGGTACATTTAAAAATAGTTTTCACACCAAAATGTGGCATGAACTCCCAGATTGGAACTCTAGAAGGTAGACCTTTATAAAATTTTCCTACTGAATCTTAGTTTTATTCTCAGCTCTATAAGCTAAATGAGACTTGCTTTGGAGGCTCAATTAGTTTCATTCTATATATATATATATATACACACACAAACATTCTACATGTTTGATAAAGGTTTTATAACAACAAACTTACAACTATAAAATTGCTTTGGGAGAAGAGATACAGATTCCACAGAAAAAAGTGAGAACTAAATAAGTCTGATAACTAAGAATCTGGCTGATATTTGGAGGAACACATAAAGCAAAACACGTCAGTGCTAAGGCCTATAAATCATGGTGTGATGAGGTTTAATGTATGTGGCTGCTGAGGAACATGAGAACACCTGGCCCCACACTTACTACCCTCCTAGAGGCTCCAACAAGCCACCAGTGAGGTTCCAAGCTGTATTAATGGCAATGTCCCCTTGAATCTCCGTCTGATGAAGAGGTAACTTCACATTGCTTACTTCTTAGGGCACGGCATGTCCTCTATTGCTGTACTTTTGTGTCTAGCACCTCAGCTGGGGTGGCCAGAATAGCTGGGACTGGCTAGGCCCCTCTCTCCACAAAGGTCTCTCATCATTCAGTCGGCTTCTGTACATGATGGCTAGAGAAAAAAATCCCAACCTTTGCTCACAGCGACTAAAAGTGTAAGTTTTAGTAATAACCTTTTTGTGATGTTTCCAATTCAACGGTCAAACCAAGTTTTTGCCACATGAGTGGAACTATAACATGCCTTGTGAGTATAAAGTATCACAAGGAAAACGTTCAGTATGAACCTTTCATATGGAGGGCTATTAACAAAGGAGATTTGCGGCAAGGGTGTGGAATTCATTAAATAACTACAGTGAAACCTGTAAGAGCCGGAACTCAACGAAACTGCCTTGTTTTTCTGGGTCTCACAAGTTTTCCACCCTTGACAGGGTGCATTCTTAACCACTTTTCTATAGCTCCTTTTAGCAGCAAATATTTGAGTTCTTCTCTGACAGGTTTCCACCTTACACAGGTTCCAGCTTTTGCAGGTTTTACTATAGTATATAATATTTACTCCCACAATCTCCCTGCCTTTGATCCTGAATAGGAACTACAAGGACCATTTTACAAACTTCTTCCTTGGTAACTGTTGGTTTCAGCAAACCTCTGAAGGTTTAGTGAGTATAAGAGCTAAGACCTGAATTTAAGTAAGATTTGTCTGGCTGATTGTCTGTAAAGATGGATACTTTCTTCCATCAAGAGGTGGAGTCTATTTTTCCTCCCCCTGAATCTGGGCTTGCTTTGTAATTTGCCTTGACCAACAGAATGCTGTGGAAGTGACCGTGTGCCCGTCCTGAGCCTAAGCATTAAAAGAGCTGGCAGCTTCTACTTTTGCTCTTTTGGGATCTAGCCATCATGTAAGGAAGCTCGGGCTAGCCCACTGAATGATGAAAGACCCATATGGAGACAGGAGCCTAGCCAGTCCCAGCTATTCTGGTCACCCCAGCTGAGGTACCAGACACTAAAGTAGAAGACATTTCTGCCCCAGGTGAGGTCCCAGCCTGTACATGTGACTGCAGCCTGTACCATGTGGGCAGAAGAGCCAACCAGCTGAGCCCTGCTGACCTACATATTTATGAGAAATAATAAATCATTGTCTTAAGCTGCTGAATTTTGGGGCAGTTTGTAAATCAGCAATGGATAAGTGTAACAAGTCCTTATTCACTATTTATCCTTTTCAAGAGCCCTCACCTTTTACTATTGTCCAAAGCAGCAGCCTAGAAAAAAAACCAATATTCTCATAACTATTTTAGCCCTATCGACTATTTTGGAAACATTAAAAATATCACAGGGAAATAAATGGTGTGATTAAAACAATTCTCTCAGAGAGGGAGGAAATATTAAATTAACCATTAAAAGTAAATAAAGATCAAACTGATAAATTGTTAGGTATATTTGTAAATGATTCTTAACACCTTCTACAGAGCAATAAACTCATTTTTAAAGTTATACACCATTTCTACTTCTTTTCTGCTTCCACTGTAGATGTTTAGGACGATATGTAATTAAGGTCTCTTAAAGGTAACACAAGGAGAAATAGATTCTCAATGGGAACATTTGCTAAATATCCATTTACATGCTTCAGAGCCCTACTCAGACCTATACAGAGCAATGGAGGCTAACCTCACACACTCACAAACTCACATATTCAGTTTATAAAGCCTAATCTTTACAGTTCAGCCAAACATAAACAACAGCAAAAACCACAATCATTAGTACAAAATAGATGCACATGTTTTCACCCTGGGCTGAGTTTGATATACTGCTCTTTTGTCTTTTAACTGGTAGTGACATTAGAGCAATGTGCTACATTATTAGCTATTAAGAGTTTACATCCCCACCCCACTGCGCCTTGAAATAAATGCAGTCTTTCCTGATGGTTAGCGAAAGTGATCAGAAGTAAAATTGAGAGCATACAGAAATCTTTCCACTTAGCATTGAGTGCTTCTATCCAGGAAGTCAAAACCTCCAATACTGAACAGCATCAAGTGTTTATTACCTGAATAAATCCCAAGTACAGTACCCACAGAAAACCAGCCCACTACTGCACTGCCACCCGCTGCCTGCCACAACAGCACATCATTCTTCCTTTTCATCTTCAAGAGTCTTCAACTAAAAATAAAAACCAATGCCAAGTATCATCATTCATCAGCATCTACATGTATTTTTTCTTTCCTTGCTAATTCTCCACTCAAGAAATAGCTTCTTAATTCACCTTCTTATTCTCAATATAAGTAAGCTCTTTTACAGCAGAGTGGTTAAGGGCATGTGCATTGGATTCAGAATGTAAAAGACTGTTTGCCTTACCACCTACTGTGGGACTTGGGAACGGGATTTAATCTCTGTGCGCCTCAGTTTCCTCATGTGAAAAATGGAAACAAGAGCCCTGTTACCCGACTCACAGGGTTGTTGTTAAGAATGAATGATATTACTACAGGTTCTATGTTAAGATTAGGGCCTGGATGACCTGTGGTAATTGCTCAGTAAGTGTTAATCATTATTACTTTATCATAAATCCAAAGATGACCTCCTGGATGGAGAAGGAGAAAGGTGGGGTGCAGAACTCAAATTCTAGTAAGAAGATCAGACTTAATGGTCTGACTGAAACTAGAGGAAAAAGCATGGCCCCTGGATTCTTATCAACCCAGAACTAAAACAATTTCCGAGGCCAACTCTTCAGACAGGGATTGGACTGGATTGTGGGACATAAAGTGATACTCGTGAGGAGTGGGCCTCTTAGCTCAAGTAGATACAAGAGACTAAACGGGTAGCTTCTGTCTGGAGGTGAGATGGGAAGGCAGAGAGGGTTAGGAGCTGGTTGAATGGACATGAGGAATCAGGGGTGGAAAGGAGGAGTGTGCTGTCACAGTATGGGGAGAGCAATTAGAGTCACATAACAACGTATGTATAAATTTTTGAATGGAAAAAAATTAAAAAACAAAACAAAACAAAGATGACCTCCTGAGAGGAGAAAGAATGACAAGGAAAATAACCCTGACTGGAGTTAACGTCCCATACTTTGTCTTCTCAGTTACATAATCAGGGATTGAATACGCATGTTGCATTGCTAAGAGCTGAATAGTAATTAGTTGTCTTGTATCCATAAACCAAACCCTTTCCTAAGTTTGAGGAGTAGATAAGACTGTAAGCAAAAAAAACATTTCCAGAGCAGGCACCATGTGAAGTAGAAGACTGGGAGGCTGTGTCATTAATCTGACCCACGTGTATATCTTCTCTATGACATTCCATTCTACCACATTCAATGTAACTGAAACCGATGGGAAGCATGAATTTGTTCTATGTCAGAAAAAGGTTGAAACAGAATGCCCTACACAATATTCTTCAGCTTGGAAAATTAGCTCTGTGCTTTAAAGATGACTGCTTCGTATGTCCTAAAATATAAAGCTCTTAAGAGAAGCCTTAAGAGTAACTTAGAGTTACTGGAATAGAAAATCTAATTCTCATAGTTCAAATTGGTCCCAGCATTAGATTTTCCTCACTGTTTTCACTTCCACTTAAACATTTATTCCTATCTATAAACTCAGAATCCCTTATGTGAAATCCTCTAATAGTCTCCTGTGAAGGACACCAACCAAAACGATTACCCAGCATTACTAAGGCATTAAGGTAGCCTTTCTTCCTGGGAGTGACAGTAAAAATGGAATAGGTAATAAAGAGTGTTTGTTCCCTCTTTGAAAAAAATTTAATTTCTGTACCCTGTCCCATTTAAACCTTGATTTAAGGCAACCCTCTAACCCTCTTCCTTGAGGGGGAAGGGGGGAAAGAAAAAGAAAAAAATTTAACTCATACTGCTAGTGAGATTTATTCTAAAAAAACAATACAGGCAGTGCGCACTGATCTAGAAACTCTGTGGAAATGCCTAAGAATTTGCATTCTGCTTTAAATGGGTCAGGTATAACGAAGTTTCCTAAGTTCTAGGCATTTCACTGCTCAATTGTCAGTACATAACCACCACTTAAGGCTGTATTATAGAATATAATTCCTGTATAGCGTGGTATGGAATTCTAAACAATACAATATTTTCCCTCAGATTTCCATGTGCTTTCCATCGTTAACTGTTCAGTTCACTACAGCTCTTGAAAAGGTATATACGCTTCACGCAACAATAACACTTCGTATTTTCAACCTTATGTTCTAGAGTGTATTAACCCACACAGACCACACAAGATCACTTTCAGAAATAGCAGAACCCCAAGCAGGTCTGTGCTGAAGTTTTGGCTGGGAAGCTCCAGGTATGATCACTTTGTAAATATAAATATTTTCATTCATTCATTCATTCATTCACTCACCCATTCTTGGCATGCCTGTCTCCTCTACTATACTGTGAGCTCCCTGAGTACAGGGAATATGTTTCACTCTTTCTTCGTTTTCCAAATAACCTACCACATTGCAAGGCACGTGATAGGTACTCAATAAATACTTGTTGAATAAAAGGAGGGTAGCACAAAAGAGAAAGGCCTTTATAAGAATTTATTCTGAACTCTTTGGTTTAAAGATGGTCTCTGTTACTGACACGGGGAAACTAAGCCCTGTAATGAATTCAGATATACAGTACAGTCAAAATGCTGAAATATCTAATATGTATACAAACTTTATACACTCAATTTAAAAGTGCTGCCTTCTGTATACCCTGCTTCCACCTTTCAAGGCCACTGTTACTGCTAACCTGGTTTCTGGTGGTGGTTGAAGTGGGAACAGACAGCAACCTGGAAATGCCAAGAGGAAGAATGGGGATGGCCCAAGACACTGCCCAGGAATGATACAAGACAGGGCTGGAACCAGATCTTCAAGTGTTTTTGGCAATGCTTTCTGAAATGAGAACCAACACTAGTACTTCCATATTACTTTCTTTTTTCTACAGAAAGAACTACTGAAACATAAATGCACCTACACAGAATTAAGTTCACTATTTTAACCAAGGATGAGAAACAAGAAATGAACAGAAAAGGTGTTTGGGTTGCCAAAATAGTGGTTACCAAGTTCATACACTAATACTCAGACAAAAGCCGACAGACTGTCCTATGCCTATTCAGCTATTTTACATTCAATTTCAGGAAGCAGTTATCTGGGTTCCTACTCCATAGAAGATCAGAAGCTGCAAATTTAAGAGAGGGCAGCAGGGACACTAACAACAGCAAAAGTATAGCTTTCTCATCCTGGAAAAAGAGACAGACTTAAAAAGCAGATTTAAGAATTCAAAATACAGACAGAACAAACAACCTACGTTATTTCAATCACCTCAAAGCAATGTTTGATCATGTCAGTAACTGACACTAGCAATCATTACTTTGAGTCAACAAAAAAGGTTAAACTATTGTTTAAAAAGGAAACAAAGTATATAATACTTGTAAAAAAATTTTCTACAAAAAGTGCAGCTAAAATAAGAATTCTGGCACTAAATACCCTATTTCCTAAAAATATTAGATAAACGGGGTGTTGCTAAAGCAGAAAGTCAACATTTGAGAGCATGGAATGATAGATACCTTGTACCTGGTTCTGTCCTCTTTACATATTCAGAATTTCATATTCTTTGACCTCCTTTTGTAATGTACTCAACCCTTCCCTAGGGTTGTTACCTTGCCAGAAATGTGGACCCCAAACATACACCAAAGCTCAACCTCTCTTTTCTGCATTGGCCTCTGTTTCTCAGAATAGAATGACAGATGCACCTCAAGATTCCTCAAGTCCAGAGCTAGGCATATTTTTGTTTTTGATCAGAAAGACAAAATCAGAAGTGAGATGTTTGCATTACATTCTCCTCTAGGCGATTCTGGCACTCATGGTGACATTGTGAGTTGGTCAGAAGCTGGATGCAGTAGCAAAGTAAGGCCTTCTGCCCTGCACCCCAGGTCCATGCTAATGAAATCATGCGGTGGCCCTGGGGGTTACAAAGGCAGCTCAGAGGAGAAGAGGAAGAAATATATAGATGTGGAAGGAGGAACTGCTGGAGAAGCAGCTCACCCAAAACTCGTTGCCATCAAGTTGATTCTGCAGAGTATTAGTGTATGAACTTGGTAACCACTATTTTGGCTGCCCAAAGACCTTTTTTGTTCATTTCTTGTTTCTCATCCTTGGGTGAGACAGTGAATTTACATTCTGTATAGGTGCGTTTGTTTCAGTAGTTCTTTCTGTAGGACAGAGTAGAACTGCCCCATAGGGTTTCCAAGGCTGTAAATCTTTATGGAAGCAGACTGCCACATCTTTCTCCTGTGGAGCCGCTGGTGGGTTTGAACCGCTGACCTCTGGGTTAGCAGGCAAGTGCTTAACCACTGTGCCACTAGGGCTCCCTGAGAAGCACCATGGGGAGGGATAACTCCCCTCTTCCATTTTGTCTCTGCATACAAGGGACAAGAAGATGGGCAGTCAGAGTCAATTCTATTGGCATGGTCATTACCAAGAGCTCTAGATTCTTCTATTAATGCTGAAGTATTAACTACCAATCCAATGGCTCATGTGGCCTAGCCAGAGCAGGACCAAGTCTGTGAAGCTGCACCTTACCTGAGCGACAGGCTGCTCCCAGGCCTGCATGTAGCTGGAGCACCATGTAATCACAGAATGGAATCTCAGGTAGCTCCAGCAAGTAAAGGTCTTTTCAGATACCCATCTCAACAGGATATTTTCAACAGGAATCAGAAACACATTTTCTTGGTTTTTGTTTTGACAAAAAGAGGAACTAAACAATTTAATATATACACTAGAATATATCACCTACCCCCATGCTGTTTTCCATGCGTTCATTCAACTAACAAATACTTTCTGCACACCTACTATGTAGCAGGCACTGTTAGGTGCAGAAAGAAAAGTGCACTGATTATCATAACTATGACAACAAACTGTAGTGCCTCATGCTAACTGTGCTCCCCATTTAAATCACAAAACCATCTAGCACTTAGTCCCACAGCACTCTGACACAGCACCTGACACCCACCACCAGAAGATTCTCCTTTTTGTTTGCAACTGCAACCACAGAATGCAAAGAGTACCTATTTTTTCTATTATGAAATTGTAGCAATCACCCAGAGACAACTACTGTGGTTAGCTATATTAAAAAGTTATCAATTCAAGAACTAAAGGATCTGGCTTCAGGGTTTATGCCACTGAAATGACAGTCACACGAAGTATAGGAAGCTAAAGGTAAAGGAAACAGAAAATTTCATTTAGAAATTCAAAATTCAGAAAAGATAAAAAGCAGAAGCTTCAAAACTGTGTCAAGGAGTTGAAATCTACAAATGGAAATCAAGAGAATTTCCAAAGAATTATCAATTCAACATAAAATAATTCTATGACATAAAGGATTGTGAAAAATAAAGATGATAGAAATAGTGATTTTTTTGTTTGCCTCCTAATCCAAAGTACCCAAGAAGATAAAGCAGGGCATATGTTTTCATTCTTTAACCAAAATGTAGTGATTTGTCTAGGAGTTCTAAAGAAACAAACAAATCAATGTCACATTTTCACCAGCCAGAGAGAAGGAAAGTTGTCAACTCCAAAATTTCTCGATCATCTTTCACCTCCATCCATTTCTGTTTTTGCACTTTATTTAGTAGTGAGGCTGTCTGAATTACTTGCTTGTGCCTTTTCATTCTCCTTTGATAAGCACTTTCAAGT